TCTTTTTGGGAGGGAGAACTCTGTAGATTTAAAAAACAAACAAACAAAATACATTTAATGATAATGAGTGCCTTCCTCTGAAAAAGAAAAGGTAGGTATTTGAATCCCCCAAGGGAAAAAATAAACTGTACTTAAATTCTTCCACTTCACCAGAGAAAATAATCATCACTTCAGTCCTGCAAAACCTCCATATTTTAAATAACAAAACAAAACAAAACAAGCAAACAAACAAACAAACAAACAAAACACCACCCAGCAACTCTGCTTATATTCTAAAATATGCACATATCTACTTTAATGGAAAGACTCTTTGCGCTCTGGATCTCAAGAGGATTTATTTGATCTTTCTTCAGGGTAGGAGATTTTTATTTTTATTTTATCACCTGAGTTTTTTGTGTGCTATGTAAAAATGTTTTCCAGCATTAGCTTTATAGTCTTTTCCAATTCTTCATTAGCTATAGTCCTGGTTGACTATCATCACCCCCACTGGTCTTTAAAATCTATGGATCTATAAAAGTTTGATGTAATGAAACCAGGACGTGAGTTCATCATTATGCTATAATATCAAACCCTCTACAGGGATGGCAATTTCATATTGCATTAAAATAACAGTTGTGGATGGCTGGAAAAAGTTTATTAGTTCAGCAAATATAATTTTGCCATTGAAAGAAATACTAATTTAGAATATTAGAAACAATGAATAATATGTTATATTTCTTTTATTTCTATACATTTGAAAAATCTGAGGTTGAAGTGTGCCTTCTACTCTGTCTCTCTTTTTTCTCTTTTCTCTAAGGCATAATCAAAACTGCTCTACCGGACATGAGCAGAGAAAACAGGGAACAGTATCAAGTGGTCATCCAGGCCAAAGACATGGGAGGCCAGATGGGAGGACTATCAGGGACCACCACGGTTAACATCACACTGACTGATGTCAATGACAATCCACCTCGATTTCCTCAGAGTACGGAGCACTAAGAGTTCTGTTGCTTTCCAATGAAATTCTCTAAATCAGTTGCTTCACTGTCACGTTCTACGATCTTTTTTCTTTCCCTTTATTATTATTATTATTATTATTATAATTATTTTAATATAATTACCGACCCACTGTTGTGTCTGTTTTTTTGTTGCAAAAAAGGCAAAGTGAATCCTTTTTTTTTTTTTTTTTTAATGTCCAAATACTTTCTGCAACTATATGCTTACTTCACCTTCTTACTCTGGTCACGGGAACGTTAGCTGTAACAACAGACTTGGATAACTGCAGGGTTTTCAGAATCTTTTCTGAAATTTAATAACAAAATATAGGATTGAGTTTATATGCCCTTAACGTTTAGCCAAGTAGTTCACCAAATTTTCTTATATACCACCTTGCACAGGCAGAGTTGGTCATGAGATATGCTTTGCTGGAAGTCTAAGTATTTGCTTCAGGTACTTGTAACCTGTACTTAATTCCTGATAAAGATTGCTTTGTATAATCTAGTCTGTATTTGACACACAACTGAGGTTTTCAAAAATATCTCTGTAATAAATTTGACAAACAATATTAAAATGCACAATACAGAAAGCTTCATGAAATACTACTGATCCTTTCATCCTAGGGTACTGGTTTAAATCCAGTTCCTTGTTGTTACAATCAGTGTCTACTAACTGCTTGACAGGCTACAGATATAAGAAATTTACAGCCTCAGTTCAGTGTCTGCTGGAAGAATGTTCATGTTGTAAAATTTGAATTGCTTGTTGGCACTGATTAGAGACCTGACTGCCTCTCTTTACAAATTCACCAAAGAATGAACAAACAAGGCTGAACTCTCTCCCATACTTACAGTAACTTGAAAGGTACTTCAGCGCTGTGGCAATAAGTACACTCAAAACAGTATAAGCGTGTCAGCCTAGAGAAGATTCTTTAAAATGTTAGGAAACTCAGAGTTGGAGAAAGGATTCTTGAAGCTTACTTCCATTCTTCCTACTCGGTTGTGTTTTAAAAAAAAGAGGGGAGAGAACGTACTGTGGGTCTTATAAAGAAAGATAATTTGAATTCACAATCAGTACAGTTTTCAAACAATTTTTCTGCTTGATTTTAGGAGAGAATACTTTTTTATAGCATGATACAGCCTACAGTACTTTGGCAAAAAGGAATTCCTGAACCTAAATTAGAGTGCAGTGTAGCCCATTCTAAGCTTTGTTGCTGAATAAAATTAAATAAAATTAAACTAAACAAAATTGTATAAAACAATAAAATGAAGGATGAACAGAACTATAAAATGATGTTAGTTTCTCAGTCTCCTCAGCCTTCATTCCTTAACAATGCTCTCGAAAGATTAGCTGAAGCCAGAAGTCCACAGAAGTTCTGATAATTATGATTAGCTTTGGTTCTGGTACATAACTGTAAAGAAATTCACACAATTTGATGCTTCATACAATATGCCATGTAGCTTTCTACATAGAATATCACTGAACAACATAGATTGACCATACATGAATTGCTATGGGATGTCTTCAGGGAAGTAACTTTCATTTTCTTGATGACCTTTCCTTTCTATTTTCTTTCTACTCAACAGGGTGATTTTCAAAATTTCTAGGGAAACCAGATATATAGAAACATCTGAAGATTTTAATTTATTCTAAGATAAATAAGAACATACCTTCAAATTAATACATGATTCTGGAGGTTTTCTCCTTCCAAAGTCAATTATTTTGCATTTTCTTTTATGTGAGGCAAGAATAAGTACAAATGTGACCCAAAGCAGAGGGTCAAAAGCAAGTAGACACAACAGGAGTTAATGTGGTGTTGCTGAAAAACTGAAGACTGATTTATTAAAGTAGATAAAAGAATAAAATTGGCAGAGAGCATTGTGAAGTACTGGATGTTTGCAATAGGAAGAAACATTTTATGTTTTGTTCTATTTCCTGAAATGTTCAGTGTCCTTCACACTTGAAAAACATAGGCAAATTTAAATGCTGAATTTATATATATATATGTATATATATGACACACTAATGAAAATCTTACATATCCTGAATTCAATAGTACTCTAAATCAAACTAGTCATCTCACATCCCAAAATTATGTAGCACTTAGGCAGCACCACAAAAATGAATGTTTTCAGGTGCAAAAACAATTAAAGGAGTTATTTATTCTGGAAGAAGCCATAAGTGGAATGATTAAACCTGTTCTTACAGTATTCTCAGCTCACCTGACAATTGCTTGAATTTGAGTAAGCCTTCAAACTTATGGTTAGCTGCCAACAGTCTTAACTTTCTTCACATTTTCAGCTTTCTTTAAGGGAATAACATTTATTCTAGTCTGTGTGGATTGCAGTCAAAGAGTCTATTGCTGAGCTTTCACTTAAATAGCAATTTTGTAACAATAAATAAGATTTAGCATGGAGCATTAGTTTCCATGTTGTTACACATCTATATAAATATAAGGGATTTCCAGAGACAATGTTTTGTCCTCTGTACATTTCAAGGTAAAGACTCCCTCAGCACTCAGATGTCTACTATGGCCCTTTTGCATAAAATAAAACATTAGGACTCCACAAGGTCTTAAATGAAAGCAAAGCATGTGTAAATACAGGAAACAGCCAATAGGCTAGTTAAAAGAAATATACTTGTCTGTACTGTACTTCAGGTTAATACAATTTTTAGACCCTTCAAACAATATTTTTGCATTTTGCCCAATATTAATTTGTCAGATCAAGAATTTTAAGCTATTTTTTCCAGTATCATTATTTTGCACAGTAATTTCATGTTTATTTACATTAGAAAATAGCTCAAAAAAACTCAGATTCTGGAAATTTGCATGGAAAATGCTATGTGTATATATATATATGTATATATGTCAAATATTCTCTAGCAAATAACAGAAAATATTGATTTAGAAATGCTTATGCCTTGCCAATGGTGAAGAATCTTCATTACCTAGTTCTCACTGGTCAAGAAAAGCATCTGATTAATTTTTTTTATGCTATAGCATGTCTTAATAGTAAGATTTTTATGGTGAATGTTGTCAGAAAATACATGCAGATTCACATTTCATATACATAGGAAAGATTAAAATGTCTGTGTAATCAGAATTCTTTCTAGCAAAACCTGATTATAAAAACATTAAATGACACCAACCACCAAAAGAGAACAAAATGTATGTGCAGAGTAAATTAAAGAAAATCTAAAAGTATCAGCATTTTAATTAACTATAGCAATTAACATGAACATGTATCCAAATTCTCTTTACCGTGACTCTTTATTATGTATTACCAATAATGGATAAATGAATTGTTTTAGATGGAACACCTGAAATTAGTATAAGTTTCAAAATATCAAAAGAGGAAACATATAGCCTATTCTGTCTTAGTCTCCTGCTTTGCTACAGCTCTTCTGCCTTAAGGAAACAAAACAAAATCTGATACTTACAAATATATCTGGCAACATTTCTGGAGAACTGGGGAAGAAGAATAGTTAATGAATCAGCATTAGAATCACTGCCATATTATTGAGCTTCTCTGTTCCAGTATTAAAAACTTTAAAAACACTATACTAAATGGCTTTGAAGAATCATTTGAAATTTTTGTGACAGTTTGTCAATCAACTCCAAGCCCTGTTTTGTATAAGTAAAAGTTTAATATAATGACTAATGGTGTTTTTCTTTGTGTAATTTTAAAAAAATTGTGGTGAAATTGAAGGTGTTTATTATTCAGAAGAATAAAGATTCTTAAAATAAAAAGGTTGATTTTGCTCTTCCAGGCACCTACCAGTTCAGCTCTCCTGAATCTGCACCACCTGGGACTCCTCTTGGCAGAATTAAAGCCAATGACCCTGATCTAGGTGAAAATGCAGAGATTGAGTATAGTATTTCCAATGGGGATGGATCAGATGTGTTTGATATCGTCACTGACAAGGATACACAGGAAGGGATTATAACTGTCAAAAAGGTTTATTTTTTCTCCTTCTCTTTTATATGTACTTAGCTCTCCAGGTGTTGTGGTTATTTTTCCAGGGTAAGGGAGGGTAGATCTCACAAGGGGTCAAAGCTGCCAAGGAGTTGTTCTATTAGTTTTGTTCTTCTCTTTCTTCAGCAGATATCTGTTATTTTCAAATCTCGAGGGAAATTTACTGGCATGTCACTTCACATAAAGCAATATTTCAGTGGCAGCTGTCTGCTCAATATATGTAATCTCACACAGTACTTTCAAATTAGGGCTGTGTGAACCTGGAGGGGTTCATTTTGCCATGGGGTTTGTCAGCTGAATAGTGCAGTAGTACTCACAAAGGTTGGAGGCTCACCTGCAGTTTGATGATCTTACATCTATAGCCTGTTACTCTGTAATCTGTTTGAAAATCCAGTACACCCAGAACCTTAAATCTGTTTTGGTTTAAGTCCAGCCTTGGTGAAACTTAAGTTCTCAGATATTATGTCAAGTGAGGTCTTAAGAGCAATGAGATTGATAGGAATTTAATTCAAATTGCCATCTCTGACAGATAGGTTTGGTACTTTTTATGGTTCAGACTGTTGAAGTATGAACACTGTTTTTAGTTCTGTTCTTAAGTGATCAGTAACAGTAAATTGCTATATGTATATGTAATACAAATATACGTATATGGAAACTGTGTGTTCATTTGTGTGTGCATGTGTGCACATATCTATGTATATATATGTATACATACAAATATACAGATAGGCAGGAAATCAGATCTCACATTTTTCCTTTTCACTGTGGAATTTGGAGGGTAGGAATAAGTTGTATCAGGGTTGCTCCTGATGCAGAATAAGCAAGAGTAGGTGATAATATGGGAGGAGACAGGAGAGTGGAAATAGGGCAGAGGACTTAAAGAGTTGGGATAAGTGTTTTTGTTCCATAAAGATGAGAAAAATAAAGACATTTGCACCTCCTACTTGTGGAAGGAGTACATCTTGCCTATTTCTTTCTTTCTATTTTTATACAGATAAATCCTCTGGGGCTTCTACTAAACTGAACAAGTAGTAGGTAAAGGGATCATAGTTGTCTTGCTGCCCTATATAATTCCCATTTTTTCTTAGAAAATGCTATCTTCCCCAAGATGCATTACAATTTTGAATTTTTTTTTTCTCTGAAAAATGCTTAAACATTCAATTCATCATTGTAAAGCTGACTCACATTTCTTGTAAAATGACACAATTTTCTTTAATAATATTATTTGTTCCCTAGCAGCTGGATTTTGAAAAGAAGATATTGTACACCTTAAGAGTGGAAGCAACGAACACTCATCTGGATCCTCGTTTTCTTCAGCTGGGGCCATTCAAAGACACAGCTCTGGTCAAAATTTCTGTAGAAGACATAGATGAACCTCCAGTGTTCAGCAGATCATCATATTTAATAGAAGTAGATGAAGATGCCAAGGAAGGAAGCATTATTGGGCAGGTTGTAGCCCAAGATCCGGATATTACAAAAAATACAATAAAGTAAGTCATTAAACATTGTTAAATTCTTTAAATATTGGTTAAATCTCACGCAAAGCATGATGAGAGTGCAATAGAACAGTGATGCAGTTACGTAATTAAGCTCATAGGAGACACTGAAAAACATTCAACAGAGAAACATCTATGGGAACTTGTGATGGAAAGCAGTTATAAAATGATAACTACATCTGAAATGTATGTCCTTTGATGGCTGAATTCTCCATGAATTACACTGCAAAAATATTATCTAAGAAGAACACTCATTTTTAGTTGTACTTCATCATTCACTTTGCAAGTTCAAACATAATTTTGAATAACAATCTAATAAACAGTCCACATAATTAATTTGCTCTTAATTCCACTCACTTAGTCTTAAAAAAGACATTTATCTGTATTTGTAACACACTGCATTCCTGTAGCAGTTACAGAAAAGCTTAGGACTACCTGTTTAGAAAACATTCTTGATTAACTACAGTTAAACTCACAAAATGTTTATAGGTGGCTGTAAACTAAACTGGAGACTGTATCAAGAAAAAATGAAGCTCAGTTGTAACATATCTTAACAGATATTCTGTGGATCGACACACTGACCTGGATAGAATATTCAACATCTATTCAGGAAATGGATCCTTATTCATCTCAAAGCCACTTGACCGGGAAGAGACTCCCTGGCACAACATCACTGTCATAGCAACTGAAATCAGTAAGTTGGAGTAATCAGCCTAAGAAGCATATTGGATCTGAGAAAGACTGGAATACTACAGTATTTATGATGTAGGCTTGCCCTTCCTCAAATACTATCAATACACAGAGTATCTTTATATGTGCATCTACTTAAGGATTATCTTTGTCCATTTGTGGAAAGATAATTTGGAATTCTCAGGCTGAACAAAACTTGGTTTCCTGAGAACTCCCTGAAAATCATTTACTGTAGAAGCAATGTATGTCAGCCAACCAATAGCAGGCATCAGAGGGAAATTTTCTAATTTTTAGAAAGATTGTTACCTTTTCCACATACAGCACTCCTTCACTGTAAGACCAAATATTGCCTCCATTTTCAATAAATGTAGTGCATGAGTGCATTTTCACAAATTTTGTGTTGCACAAAACTTTGCATTGTACATACTACATTGTAATTATGTTCTTGTTCCAGATAATCCTAAACAAAGTAGCCAGATACCTGTCTTCATCCGCATTTTAGACATAAACGATCACGCACCAGAATTTGCCAAATACTATGAAACATTTGTCTGCGAAAATGCAAAAGCAGGACAGGTAAGTGAATATTTATGTTATTTTAGAATTTTAGTGAAACTATTAAGGAATATCATAATAGAGAATTCATAATGTGTATGTTCAACAACTGCAAATCAAACCACCAACCTCTTTATTCCATGCCTACTACAGTAGCTACACTTGTTTACAAAAAGATTTTAAGAGATAAAGATGGAGGATTTTACTTTTATATAATATTACATAATATAAAGAAATATTTATTTAGGGTGTTTTTCCATCCTTAACATCAGAAAATATTTTTTGAATCTACTTATGCATAATGCTACAAAAATCTTTGTACTCTCTCATAACTCCATTTCCTTTGGGAAGTTTTTCAAAGCCTTAGTTGACATAGCCACACCTTCAAGTACATAAACACAGGAAAATGTTTTACTATGCTCCAGTAAAGGAGATGTAGAATAAAAAAATATTTTAAATAAAAAATGCATAAGTACATGAATAAATAAAGCTAATGTAACTGTTTTCTTTGCAAGTTTTATTAAATTCTGAATTGAGCTGAATGTGAGCAAAACTCATGTACATCCCTTTTAAAATTATTTGATAAATTTTGCAATTATCTAAAAAGATGATAAAATTTATGAAAGAAAATTAGAAATAATTTCTATTTATGATAATATCTGTCAGCTTTTCTGTTTTAAATCTTGTGAAGGAAGATAACGTTTTGCTATTTTTTAATTCTGAAAGTACTTACCAAGTTCATACCAAATAACTGGATACAGCATCAGATTATATACCCTGAAATTGTCGCTCTAGTGTGTGCTTAAGTCCACATTTGAATACTGACTTAATTCCTCTCTCATCTTTGAAAGGAAGAAAAGAATTGAGATCATTATTTTCCCTAAAGGAAATTTGAGGTTTTTTTCTGCTTGCAGTAGAGAGTCTAGGGCAGATCTTTCTTTCTGTCTTTTGAGCATACTAACTACATAAAAAAACTCAAAGACTTTATAGGACTGAGCAGTATGGATATGCATCAGAAAATATATTATTTTTAACTTTGTTCTCTGTCCAGAGTTATTCGTATTTACTAAGACCATGATGAATGCACTGAAAATAGTGTAAATGGTACTTGGGATTGACCTAGAACGTCAGGTTTTACAGAACACTAGAAAGGGCAAGAATATGCAGTTTACCAGATGCAAAGCAAATGGTGTTTTACAACAGGTTTAAGAGATGAAAACAAGGATATATATATAATGGAAAAAGACAAAAATAGAAAAGAGAGAGAAAAAGGTGTGTAAATTGAAATAATCTGCATTCAGTCTACTAACCTGTTAATGTTGCACCAACTGGAACTTAGTTAAATGGGTTATTAAATACAGAGGATAGTCTGAGTGAAATCGATTGGCTTCAGAGAGGTACTTGATCATAATTTTAATTCTTTTTCAAGAAAGTTCATTGTATTTGCCCCCTCCCTGGAAGCATGCCTCCTCCCTGGAAGCATTCAAGGCACGATTGAATGGGCTTTGAACAACCTGGTCTACCGGGAGGTGTCCCTGCGTATAATAGAGAGGTTGGAAATAGCTGATCTTAAAAGTCCCTTCCAACCCAAACCATTCTATGATTCTACGATTTTGTTTTTGATACAATGATATACATAGATAAATATGCATATCAAAGGCAGTGGTGAATTTAATTAAAACAGTGGAGGAAATTAAAATATCAGAAAAATGAACAAGGTACATCTTTCAAAACAACTGAAGCTTATGATCAGAACATACTGTCATAGCCGACATTAATTGTCATATAAGTGTATAGTTCAAAACTTATAGAATGAGAAAAGCCTTTCTCTCAACTTCTGATTATTGAACCCTCATATCCTCATATTTTTGTTATCTGATCTACAATCTCTTTTTTTTTTTTTTTTTTTTTCTAGATTGAATACATTCAGATAATTCTAGTCATTGATTTGAATGGCTGGCATATAACCTAAATTCTGTCTGTGCAACAAAATCTCTTTGCACAAGATGAAATTGAGACAAAGAAATCTTAAAATCTTAGTATAATGGCTGATAGCAAAGTAGGTCATATACTTTAATTAAATAACACAAAGAAATCTTTAGAGCTTAGTAGTTACTATTTCAATGAAATTAATCATGTGGAATATTATCAGTTAGCAAACTCTGGTTTTGTCATATATGTGAACCAAATTCAATCCAATCAAAACTCTTGCCAGTTTTCTTTCACCAAATAGTCTAGAATACTTGATGAATTACCCAATAACATATAAAATTGCATTTACTTTTCTGGTGAATTTAGTGCCTTTCTAAAAATAACCATGAGAAAATGAGAAGGCCTGTTAATTATGTATTTTATTGTTTAGATCTTCCATCCATCTACTGTATCAATTTAATTCCAGATATTATATTCCTTAATTGGAAAAATCTGCAAATTCTAGAAAGAGAGTATGCATAAAATGTAGATGCAGAAGAATGAGAGACCTAGACCTTCCTTCTATTTTTTAATAGTGTCCTCATTCAGGCATCTGAATTTACACCTGAACGTTTACCTGTACTTGAAACTGTTTCAGAAAATAAATAAACTTTAATACAGGAGAATACTTCTACTTTGGGACCTAAAAATAACAGTGAATATAGAGATGCAAACTGGAATGTTTAGGCTATAGATGCTAAATTCCAGATAGCTCGTGTTTAGCAGCCCCCAGTAAGTATAATGAATATGCATTCAATTAGTACTACACTTTATTTTAAATATCACCTAAAAATATTTTCTTATTAGAATCATTATTGCTTCTTCACACATCACAGCAGTGCTTTGACATCTGGTGCCCATAACAGAAGAGACAGACTGAGAAGATAAATATATTTAGTTAATATCTAAGAGATTATTATTTTTTTTTTAATTGTGCCCATCTATTAATCACCATACGCTCTAAATCTCAGTTGCATAGTGAAGCAGTCAGAATGATCAAATATTGTTCTCTACTGTCTAGTGACATTACTCATTCTCTACATCAGCAGATAATAGAGGCTCTGTTTGTTGTCCTACAGAGTGTCTCCTCCTCCTCTGCCACTGTTTTGTCTCCAGATAACAGTGGTATGATTAGGAAGAAATATTGTCATTAGAGATGCATAAACAATAGCATTCATATGGCTGGAATAGACCTGTCATCTTGCAAGTCCCACTGCCTAATTCACAAGCTATAGAGGAGTATGATGCAGTCTTCCCCTTGCAGAATTTAAAAATTTCTAATCCTCTGATGGTGTGTTGGAGCCCCAGGGACTGCTGTAGGGAAGGCTCTGGTACAAGTTCTCTCATGCCCTTGTCACAGGAATTAATTGTGTCTTTGTAGCTGGATTAGAGGATGAATCCTCTCCATGGAAACAAGGAAGATTTACTTGAAAAGGAGGTTGAATAAACTGAGCAAGTTAGTGACAACAATTCAGTTAATTTCAACATCTACCAATAATATTTAAGAAAACTACCTGGGTTGCTTTTTTGCATTGATGCTATATTCTTTTCTGCCATTCAGGGGCTCTCAAGCATCAGAACAGGGAAAGAATTTGTTTTCTCTCTTGGAAAGCTGGCAGATTTTTCATTTCATTACTGTCCATATACTCCTTCCTTTATAAGATGGAGAAGACAGATAACACATTTTTAATGTGGTTGTTGCTAATTATCAGTCACAACTAGTTGTATGTTGTCCCTCTCTTCTCCAAGTAGAAACCTATTGATTTTGTGAGAGACCCAAATTCCCTATTTGTCTTACTTTTAAAATAAGAATAGGAGTTTAATTAAAATCTTTCCAACTTCTGTAAAGAATTCAGCCCTGCTTTAAAACTGTCAGCATATGGTTGGCCCAGAGCCAAGGAGTAAAAATTGTTTTGCTTTAGCAAACATGAAACTTCATTAAGTGGTGGGTTTTTTAGAATATTTCTGAAGACATAATGCACTAGGATCAAAAGTCTATTCAATCTTACTCACACGTCTGAACACGTCTGTAGTGATGCACGTGCTAGAACATTACCTGAACACACAAGATTGCACAAGCACTACATTGACAAACTAGGCATCTACTTAGGATTTCACTGATTTTGAAATAATTATTTTGGGGGTATTTGATAATTCTTTTGGCGGTATACCTTTCCATTATTCATACTTCAGGTGGGCAGTGATGATATTACTCAGAGAAGCCTACAAACTATGAAAAGAGATTTCAGGGGTTAGGCATTTAGTTCAAGGTACGGGAGTGCAAGTGATCTTTTGTTCTATACCTTCAGGGGCAGTGAAGGACATAAGGTGGGCTTGGGAAGCACAAGTAAAGAATAATTGGCTCAGAGGCTGGTGTCGAGGCAGAAACTTTGGGTTCTTTGATCATGTTGCAGTTTACTCAGCCCCTGGCTTGTTGTCCGTGCATGGAACCCACCTATCTCAAAGGGGGAAATAAATCCTAATACAGGAGATAGCAGGGCTTTAAACTAGCTACGATGAGGGAAGGGGACAGAACAGGGCTCACCAGAGACGAGACTAAGGGAAAAACGCTTGAGTTGGGAATGAGTCTGATGACTCAGCTGAAGTGCATCTACATCAATGCACGCAGCATGGAAAACAAGCAGGAGGAACTGGAAGCGATTTTGTAGCAGGCTGTGACCTTGTTGCTGTTACTGAAACATGGTGGAACCACTCCCATGACTGGAGTGCTGTGATGGATGGCTACAAGCTCTTCAGAAGGGATAGACGAGGAAAGAAGGGTGGTGGTGTGGCCCTTTATATTAAAGAGTGTTTTGATGTTGAAGAGCTTGGGATTGGGAATGACAAAATTGAATGTGTATGGATAAAGATCAGAGGGAAGGCCTGTAGGTGTGACATCTTGGTGGGGGACTGCCTAATCAGGATGAAGAGAAGGACATAGCATTCTATGAGCAGCTTGTGGAAGTTGTGCAATCACCAACACTTGTTCTCATGGAAGACTTCAACTTCCCTGATATATGTTGGAAATACAATACAGCGCAGAGGAAGCA